GCTTCTAGTAACAAGTGCCTTACTAGTAGTAACAAGAAGCTACTAGTAACAAGTGCATCGCTACTAGTAACAGGTGCCTTACTAGTAGTAACAAGAAGCTAGTAGAAACAAGACTCACCCACCTCACTCCACCTCACGCCGTCCAAAAAAGCACACCCGACACCGTGGCAACGCGGCCCGCGGCGCGTCTCTTCGACCGTTTCACCAGCCGCACCTCTTTGTCCCGCTCGAGGTCGGTGTCGAGGGTGAGCTCCAGTGCCTCGAAGAGTTCTGGTAGCTGTTGCAGTGAAGAGACTCGATGCCTCGTCGCAGTCGCCAGTCGCGCGGAGGGCTCGTCGCGCGACGAGCGTGACGGGATCTGCGGACAGGCTTGAGGGACCAATGAACACCATGACTGTAGGTGGTCATGATATGATGAGTGCCGTTTTTACATGAAGTCAAGATCCCCTTACGTGAGGATCGCTGGGCGGTTGCATCATGTTGCATCTACCACCATGGCATGGTTTTTTCCCCTTTGACTTGGATTGGTCTAGAACCCTGGCGCCAGAAACACCCAGGAACCGGGGAAACGACCCCGAACCACCAAACACCCAAACCGCAAAAGCAGGTTTTGGCCGGAAAAGCAGGGCTCGGAGGTCGTAGTGTTCCTCGCTGGCTCTGTGGTCACGTGAGGCTTTCCACTCACAGCTCTCCAAACAAACAGTGATTTTAGTCTCAGCAGCCGCTGAAGGCAACCCAAGGGCGACGATATCACAATCTTACATTGTTGGAGGTCATCGCTCTTAGGTTGGAGCCCCTCGCTACCAAGGCCATTGCTATTGGGTTCCCTCATCTTGGTTCTCAACTCTTTCTTTCCAACTTGCAGCGCTTATCAGAATCATACATGCAAACCAGGCTCAGGTCATTCAGCACGAAACCAACACCATCACGTGGCTTCAAGCTTGGCAAGTGTCGCAAGCTTCTGTTCACTTGCCAAAGGCTCACCAAGCTATCTCAGATGTTCAATCCCCATCCCTTCATATTCGTCAACTAGCTGCAAACAGAACGAAAACGTTCTTCCTTCGCCTTGGTCTAAAGAGGCGAACCACGTGGTGCCGTTGACGACCGGCAAGGCGACCGACCCATTTTGGGTCGACGGAACCGCTTCAACGCCCTCTGGTGGTCGCAGAGTGGCATCTGGGCAGCGTTCTGCCAAATGCAAGGCTGCAAGGCGAAGGTGGCACCTCGAAGGCCAGATGAAGGTGGCAAACAAGTCGAACATGCCCAGGGAAGAACCGAACAACATACGAACAACAAATGCCATCGATGCAGAACGATATACAAAACGACACCCTTCTGCCTCCGCTCTTTTGAGTCTGACTACTCAGGTTCAAGAAGGGCGGTATGCTGAATGGGCCCTCATTCCTGTGTGAATGCAAAATCTAGAAGCAGTCTGAGGAGCTTTTGCATGTCCGAAATCTGCTCGGTCTCACATGTATCAGTTTGACTTCGCGACTTCGGCTTCTGCGACTTCGCGAGACTACCCGTGGAACTCATCAGCTATCCTTGACACGAAAAGTGGTCTGCCCCAGCTGTGTCTATAGAATGACCACTGTAGGGTGTTGAGGATTGCTCGTTTCTCAACTGACGGTTAGTGGCATCACAGAAAAATCCTGTTCTGACGTATCTCCATTTTGAAGCGTGCTGTCGAAGCTGTCATCTGGCATTCTTTTGGGCCACACCACTGCATGTAGTGTTTTGACCAGAAGAGGACGTTTTTTGCAAATGTTCGCACTCCAAGCAGCATTGTGGAAAGTTCTCAATGAAGTATTGAGCCGATAGAATCCATTTCCTCAGTGCAATGAGGTTACGATCACACACGTGATCCAAAAGGCAAGGCCCAAAGATGGAGGCCCATGTTCGGTGATGCTAAGATCGGCCACAACATGTGCAAAAACTCGGGACTGTGGGTAGAGCTCGTTTGACTTGCAGCAATTGATTCATCTTCAGCGAGCAAAGCTATGAGCGGATTGAATGGCCGGGCTTCTCGTAGACCACGGCGCACGAGAAGGGAGAGCAGAAATCGCCCACATAATGCATGCTGCAATCTCCTTCTTTCTTCGTTTGCCAAGCCGTACAGAGATGCTTTCAAGGACACCACAACTGAGGTCGTTACAGGTTTGTGTAAAAACACTATTTCTTTGAACTTAGTGAACAGCCGTCTCCGCGATCATTCAAAAAACACATGCAGGTGCGTGGGTGAGCTCACTCATCAATCATTGATCTACACCAACTTCAAAAGGACTTTGTGCCAACCAATGGTGAAACGAGGAACCACTTTCAACCACTCATTGTTTCCTTTGCACGTGTTCGACCATGGCGGCAATATTGAAGATCAACAACTGAAGACAACGAACGGAAAAGCGGAAAACATGAGGTTCCACGCGTCGATATCCTCTGCTTGAAACCATCTTCTCGAACTAACGCATGAACCTCCACATGGCTGGCCAAAGGATCCGCATCCTCCGTCATTGATTCTTCCACTAGTAACAAGTGCATCATTACTAGAAGCTATACTAGTAGCGATGCACTTGTTACTGACAGCTGCTACTAGTAATGCCCTGCCCTTAGCTACTAGTAGCATGATGCTCTTTTGCCCTTAGCTACTTCTCCCGTCCGGCTCACCGCGTCGCTCCTGCCATCTCCAAATCCACGTGGAGTTCCACCTCGGGTCGGACCGGGCTCGGCGGTCCCAGTCCTTCGGAGCGAGTCGCGTCCGATCGCTCCTAGTAAGGTCAGGAGCTTTCTAGTTGCTTTATTGTTACAAGTAAGAAAGAAACGGGCTTCAGGAAGTGTATAGACACCCACAGACACATTGACATGGCATTCCAAACAAAGAATCGCCGTCTTCTCAGAGCTCGCACCGACCAGCTCAGAGCTCGCTCTCCTCCGAGGCACCAAACGTGCGTTCCGCCGGGCACACGCCTCGAAGGCCTCCCGCCGCGCTGCGTGCCCTCGGGGTGCCTCGGGTGACCAGTGCCCCTGTGAACCTATAGGAGCAATGGCCTCCAACCTAATAGCGTCTTTGCTCCTAGTGGTACGGCCAGGAGCCCCTAGTAGCTTCTTGTTTCTAGTAGCAAAAGGAAAACGCATTGCGTTTTTCGATTCCATAGTCCTGATTTTCGATTCATGTATGGCCAAAACGCACGTGTTGAAAGACGAAAGGACTGCTACTTCTTTAGTTCTTGTTCATCGTTCAAATCCCGCAACAACTGGGGTGAGAAGAATGAGCAGCAATGACTTGCAGTAAAATCTTTTGAGATGCACTGATATTTTGGTTCCACTGTGAGTTGCTTTGGAGCCACAACGGCCCATGTGACTTCCAAGAAGGCACGCAAACTCTCCGGATCGTTCCCTGAGGCGATCTCCGGAAACCACGGAGATCGCCGAGTTTTGAACCCCCAAGAGCTTAGAATGACCATCAGTAACAAGAAGCTACTAGTAGGGGCATCGCTACGAACGGAGCGCTCGGACGCTACGAAAGGGGCGCTCCTGGCCGTACTACTAGGAGCAAGGACGCTACGAATGGGGCGCTCCTGGCCGTACTACTAGGAACAATAACGCCCATCAGTTGAACCCAAGTGATTGGAGAACATTCGCTTCGATAGACCCATCCCTCTTTCCGAGCGAAAAATGAATGACCTGCCTCGGGAGCACTGTGGGTGACCCGGGTGGGCCTGAACACTGCGAACCGGGTCAGGGAGTGCTACGCTGCTACCCATCAATCAACGCAAACAAGAACAACAAGAAGTAGCCACACCTGGCTACTTTTGCGCCTATTGAGCTTCCCCGAATTGTTCCCAATTCAGCCTCATTCATCCCTACTGGCACACCATTCCACGAAACGTCCACGAACGTCCCCGGGCTTCCACGAAGAAAACCCTTTCTGTGCACTACCCTTCCGTTTGCCTCTGACTTCACGCACCCAGTGGCAAAGAAGTTGGGGTTCTCTGCCCTGAGATCTTGCAGGTCTCGTTCACACAGCGCGGGGTTCAGCGATGACCTCAGCTTGGCCAAAAGCGAACCATGCTGACCCTATCAGTGTAAAAGCAAACCTACAGTTAAGTGTGCCAATAGGCTTTACATGGCAAGAGGCTTGGACATTCCACATGCCTTTAGATATGAACCATATGAATCATATTGAGCAAATTTGGCTTACTACTGGCAACAAGGCACATAACTTTGCTTGGCCCTTGCTTCAACTTCTCCTAGGAAAGCCAATTGATGCCGAACAGTCACCATTGGGCACCCTCAAACGACCCATTCGACCCCTGAAGCAAACCGGACTCTCACATGTTCGATGCATGATCGAGTCATTACTAGTAACAATGTTCGCTACGAACGGGGCTCCTGGCCTTACTACTAGGAGCAAGGACGCTACGAACGGGGCTCCTGGCATCGCTACTAGTTACTAGTAGCATTCTTACTACTCGTTTTGAAGCAAGGGATGTGCAAAGTGATTTGCCTCTCAGGTGTTTGGAAGCGAGTGGCTCGTAGCGGTGGCTCCCATCGCCGCCCACCTTCCCAAACTTCACCATGTTGTCCTCACAGAAAGCAGTTGGACACATGCATCAGGCCGGGCAGGATATGCAAACACGTGACTTCGGGTCAGCTCAAACAGCAGCTTGGAGTTCCTGGTAATTGATAGGGATTGACCATCCCCCATTCTTCAAATCCGTGGTGGGTACACAACGAAAGGCATGCTGGTCTTCCGAGACCAGCCCACCAGTATGAAAGATCTCCGATTTCGGATGGTTCATCGTTCGCCATATTCCAGCCGAAAAGGGCCTTCAGAGAACGACCAATGTGGCAAGACGAGCAGCTTGGTACTTGGTACGTGATTCTCAGCGGTTGGCTGGTGGGCTCACGTGGGTCGATCTCAACAACAGGAGTGGATCGATAGACCATCGAAAAACACTTGGTGAATCCTGAGAGTTGACTTGTTGATGGACTGCAACCTAACAGCGATGGCCTCCAACCTACTAGCGATGCTCTGTTGAACACACCTGTACACCACCAGCGAAGGCCGGACAAAAACCGCTTCGACTGCTCCGAGGCTCCTGGAGGATCTGGTCGCGCCAAGGCTTCTGGAGGATCTGGTGATCCTCCAAATCCTGCGATGGTTTTAAAAAAGACAACACCAAATTCTGGTGATCCTCCAAACCACGGCTCCAAGGCCGCGCCGTATCTCTTTTTCCTGTTTTGGTTGCTCCGTTTCGCACTCTTTCCAAGCCACAAGACAACCTCCCTCCCTCCTCCCCCACTTGGATTTCTGGTTCAGTTCTTCCGTCTGATTCCATCCGCCGGAAGAAGTGTGCAAAGGGCTCCTTTTCAAGGTAAACGATGCACAACATCTCCCACATCGCAATTTTTGGGTATCTCTCTAGACCTTAACACCGACGGGTAGATCCGATGTAGTCATCCAGTGTGGAGTCTTCTGGTATCAAGGATACTTTCCTTTTCCTTTCCAGCCCGATGGATGAATGTTTTTGCCAGAGTCACTGCCAGAGTCCCTAGTGTCCACTCGAAAGTAGAACATCGTGTCCACTGTTACTAGGAACAAGGACACTACTAAGGACTCCTGGCATCGCTGCGAACGGAGAAAGGGGCCCTCCAAAAAGAGTTATAAACATCTACACCCAACCGTGCCCAGCCCATCCAACACAATGTTTCAAAGATCTCCTCCACTTCGCAGCACTCGGGGCCTGCTAGGACGCCATGGCACTCCTCCTCCGCCAACGCCAGTGCCAGCGCCGTGACGCCACTGAACGTGCCATGGAATTTCAACATGAAAGTCACAGGAAAAGAGAAGAACCAGGAGAATTGATGGTTCTTGATATAGTTCAACCTCCTAGTCAAATGAGCATCATGTGTTTTTCACAAAGTTCTTGATATAGGAACTACCTCATTGGCCTTGACAAACATCGGGGAGCAATCAAACAACACAGATCTTACAAAAGGCATATGCCAAGCCGGACAATCTGTGGTGCTGGCCAACAAAAAACAAGGAACAACTCTTGAGCCGAGGGCGTTGATGGTCATTGACATCTTAAATGATGATAGAATGATAGTCTAGAGAATCTTCGGATGTCTCTTATGCCTCTAGAGTGCTGAAACTCTCCAACGACCTGAGAGTGCGGTCAATCTTCCTGACTCGCAGCAATCCTCAAATGCTTCTTGTCTTTACCTCCTTTTTGTATATAATTAAGCACAAACAAATGACACAATCTTGGTTAAACTGAGCTTTTCGCTACATAATAACACCTCTTTGCCCTTAGGACGCACACCAAAACGAGAGGTCCAACTTCTATATCATTGAGTGTTCAGAGTTCTTCAACACCTCGAAACCACGGGTGACCTGTCCAAACCAAGGGATCCTTGTCTTGATACACTCTCTCATCTTGGGACTCACTGAAGGTTGTGGTTGGAACTCATGGACATCGGCAATTCTTGCCAGACAGCAGGCCTGCTGCCTAAAAGCAGGCCTGCTCCCAGACCTGGGCTATGAGCCTGCACCCCTTGCAAAGAGACTTAGGGCCCCCAAAAGGTGACAAAAGGCTTCATGTGGTTTTGCGCATGTTCGATCCGGGTCAGAACCCGAAGTAACTTGGGTTGCTTGGTTGCTCTGATGAGGATTTCCTTCAATTTGAGGGACAGTATATTAATTCTAATTAAATTAATTCTAATTTTAATAGCTTTTTTGTTACTACTAGTAAGGCACCTGTTACTACTAGCGATGCACTTGTTCCTGGGTGAGATCAGTCCGGAGAGACATGAGTTTTCCTCACTGGGCCGACAGTTCGGCACAACCGGACACTACCGGAGGTGCTAGCGCAGGCTCGTTGAGGTCGTTTTCAAGTTGCTTCTTATAGATGGACGGTGAATAGAAACTCTCGGCGGTTTCCTCTTTTGCTTGGCGTTGAAGCATTAGCAAAGCATGCTGAAGCATGTTGAAGCACAGCTGGACTTGCTGAAGACACGCTGATCATGTGAACATTGCACTGTGAACCAAGAGGCTTTGACCGAACAATCTCCTTGCCCATGGCAAGTGATCCTATCTACAACACTCAAAATTACCGCAAGTTAACGTTCCCGCCTGTGTCTACTGCACTTCATGTGAAGGAACGTAAAAAATTGCCGGTTGCCCGCATGAGGGTTTTTGAAGGCGATGCATTCCAATGCATTCTTCATGTACAGGAAAGTCTTCCACAATTGAACAAGTCTCGAATCCTTTCTTGAGTGGGATTGCAACAAACAAGGCCACCAGTCAACTCTGAACCAGACTTCTCAATGGTCCAACAGAAGGCCACCAAACCCACTATGTTCCACCAAACTTGGCTGCCAAGATCTGTCCAAAAGTGGAATTGGTGGTGAAAGAGAAACTGTCCTCGTCTCTCCGCCCTCGTCGTTGCGTCACTTCTGGCGGTCTCAGCAAGACTCTCTTTGGCTGTGGGATTCAATCACGCTGACGTCAAAGCGCCGGATTGCAAGCGACCATCTTCTCAGTGGCGGGTCAGTAGCCAAGTGATACAAGAGCTAGGAAGAAAACGAGGCACAAAGGAAGTTGGTTCCAAACACGGTATGTGTTCTTTTACCCACCCACCCACCCACCCACCCACACGTGGCCGTATGGCAAAGCTATCAAAAAGACTTTGTAGGATACAGGCCAGGGTCTGCGTGTGTCTGCGTGCAGAGTGGGGTCTCACAAGCTGGTGTTGGAGACTATGTAGCATCTGACGCCAACAAACAACTGGAAGCTATGGCCTCCAACCTACTAGCTATGGCCTCCGGCCTGAAGCTATGGTCTCCAACCTACTAGCAATGGCCTCCAACCTACTAGCAATGGCCTCCAGCCTAGAAGCGATGGCCTCCAGCCTACTAGCGATGGCCTCCAGCCTACTAGCGATGGCCTAGAAGCGATGGCCTCCAGCCTAGAAGCGATGGCCTCCAGCCTACTAGCGATGGCCTCCAGCCTAGAAGCGATGGCCTCCAGCCTACTAGCGATGGCCTCCAGCCTACTAGCGATGGCCTCCAGCCTAGAAGCGATGGCCTCCACAGGAGATGATGTAGCGTATGACGCCAAAATTTATTATTCTAATAGCGTCCTTGCTCCTAGTAGTAAGGCCAGAAGCCCCTAGTAGCGTCCTTGTTCCTAGTAGCGATGCCCTTTGCTCCTAGTAGCGAACATTGTTCCAGATTTGCGTGTAACACATCGGCCCATTCAGCAGAACACACAGATCCTTTCAGACTTACAGTAGAGAACATAAAGGCTGATAGGAGCGTACTGCATCTGGGTAGAGCATCGATGCCCTCCGGCAGGTACTCCCTAGGGAAAACCAGCAATTGCAGAAGGTGAATACTGATTGTTTAGGCTGGCCAATTTCTGCCAAGATCTCCCAATACATGGCGCACACACTGTGTTGGAAACAAAATCAAAGGTCACACAGCTACAACCCTTGCTTGGGCCATGAACCCCCCAAAACACACTAAGTTTTGCGCAAATTTCAAATTGTTTTAAAAAGACGACCTGCTCCATCAACTGCTCCGAACATGGGGTGAGCTGCATTGTTTATGTGTCCGTCCTTCAATCCAGCCTCTTCTCGCCCGTCATGTGGCAATTTTTTACAAGGTCTGGCTTCAGTCAGGGAGCTGACCTCGATACGTCCGGTGCTGGAAGTAAGCGTTCGCCAAGCCTGAAGGCATCTCTTTTGGGGCTTCCCAGATCGAATTCGAGTGTTCACTCGGAAACAGGTACACTCCGACGAACACAGAAGTCCCATGCTTACGTGGAGTGATTTCACCCCCTGTTCGTAAAGGAAAGGTCGTCTTCCTTTCGGGATCATGCCATCCTCTTCCATGTTTTCTGTGTTCGTCAGAGTGTAAAATCAAGTTAGATTGTCATTGCACTGAATACTGATCATTGGATCACCCATGGGATCGGTCTCTGGACCACGGTATGCACCCCACGTATCCCCCCCTGTAGAGGTTGGATGGCGCCGCCTTCTAAGACTCATGGGACGGGGTTCTGAAGTGTTGCTCTGATTGTGCAAGTCATCTATCTTCTGAAAATGATGTGCCCTTTACTTAGAGATTGATTCCCAAATCCCGCAACAAGAACTTGAAACATGAACTAAGCATGGACTCATAGACCAGCGTCAACCCCTGTGTGTCCAATGACGACTTCAATCCCGGCAAGGTGTTTCACCAAGGGGCCGCAGCTGTCGCAAGATCTCTTGTTGACTGGCCAACCTTGCCAGTTGCAGCTGCGACCGTCAACGGCCAACGTCAAACCTCAAACAACATGATGTGCCTAAAATGTGACACGGGACATGTGGTAGGAAATCTCCGAGTGGTTTCACCGTTTCAAGAAAGGGACAGGTGGAGATTCTGAAACACCCCATGGTCGCTGGCAAAATGAACGCCTCACCCCAGTTTTGCTGGACCTTAATTGTTGGTACCACAAATTACCCCTGGTTGGCCGTCCATTGGTTGCTTTTCCCACTCCTTATGGAACATATTGCCGTAAACCATGAAATCTCTCCAACGGTCCAACTGTCCACCTGAAAACAAGTTGGGGGATTTGTCCAAAGAATGTTGATCTATAATATCGATGAGGCTGACAGCCAAGGTTGGTTTTCCAAACAAGACGAATGGATCTTTGTGGATTGAAAAGGGTGCGAACCCATTTTCGTTGCATCAAGTCGATCCGAAAGTAACAAGTGCCACGCTAGTAGTAACAGGTGCCTTACTAGTAGTAACAAGAAGCTACTAGGAACAAGTGCCTTACTAGTAGTAACAGGTGCCACGCTACTAGGAACAAGTGCCTTACTAGTAGTAAGACTCTCTGCACTGACCCATCGCCGTTGGATGCAAGAACCGAACAACATCATGGAAGCTCCGAACTTCCGATTTGGGATGTGTACATCTTCCTCCTCTGCTTGAGCGGTTCAACCATCCAATGGGACACATGCCCTTGTGCCATAAATTTGGCCAGTGACACATGCCGAGGCGATTGACTTCAGGATGTCCATGCATATCCCAATGATTCGAAGATATTCATACTACTTCATCTACCAACCCCTGGTCTGCCCAACTCCGCCGGGTCTGCCGGGTCTGGTTTCACCTCGGGTCCCCCCACGTGCTCCGCAGTTCGGTGTTCTCCCGCGTCGCTTGGAGCACCTGCTGCCTGGTGTGTGACGGTCCGGTTCTTCTGGTTCAGTGCTAGGTGGTGGATAGGTGGACAGCCACCTTTACAAACATGAAGAAACAATGATACTCTCCGACCTTTTGGCGGAACGTGTGATGACAGGCAACATTTCCAAGATTCACGGAAAGTCCGGAGAGCAAATAGATAGTGTTGACCAACCGGCTGGGCCAGATTAAGACTTCTTGTTCCTAGTAGTAGTGCCAGGAGCTACTAGTAGCTTCTTGCTACTAGTAGCGATGCCCTTTGTCACTAGTAGCTTCTTGTTCCTAGTAGTAAGACGGTCATGGAAGGCACAAAACGTTCCAACGTTCTAAGGCACATCTGCGGCCGATGCCAGCGTATGCCAGGTTTGGGGGCCCAGAAGACATCTCCCACCAGTTCTACGTTTGGCTTGTGGAATCTTCTGTGGGTCCTTACAACGCCTTAATTAGGTTTAGCTCTCTGTCCCACTCTTCTGGACCTTCTTCAAAACCTTTTTGATCCTTTTTTGGCAGACCTCTCTTCCTTTCTTCCGGTCCATTTCTCCCGCCATCTACCTCCACCCGGTCCGGCGTCTCCCGACCCGTCCGGCGTCTCGTCCTCCCGCCTCACCGCAGCGATGG